AAAGCATTGATAAGGCTATCAAGATAACTTTGACAAACAAGGAAGGGGAGAAAACATTTATAACTTTAAAATATTGCCTCTGCAATACACATTCACATTCTAGAATCGTAGAATGGCTTAGGTTGGAAGGGACCTTAAAGATCATCAGCTTCCAGTTCGTGCCATGGGCTGGTTAGTCACCACCACATCAGGCTGCTCAGAGCCCCAGCCAACCTGGCCTTGGGTACCTCCAAGGGTGGGGATCCATTCCAGAGATTGGACCATTATCAGTGTAAAAGATATGGAACTTCATGCATCCTAGCACTACTCAGTCCCTAGAGCCAAGGGCTGCACCAGCTGTGAGCACTGCACGGAGCTGGAGCTGCTGTGCTTCAGCAGTGGATGTTAGGTGCACAATGTTGAACATATATCAGAAATTCAGGGCTTTCTCCTTCACTGCATCCTTACCAGAATCTGCATCTGCAACTCTTTGTTCATGAGAGAAGTGTAAAAATAAGAGTTAAAAAAAAAAATAACAGTGCTGAATCCCTGCCTTTGCAACCCATCTTTTAGTGCTTTTTCCCAAGTTACAAAATAAAAAAAACCAAAAATCTTACTTTGACAATTGAACGATCTAGGAGAGCAACCTGTTCAATTTGAAACTGCTCAGGTTTTCGATCCAGGTGAGCAAGAAAATCACCACTGTGCACCCAGGGAGCAATGAGCAGCAGGCTGAACTGTACCAAAGCCCCCAGTGCCTTCCTGCTGGAGAAGGTTACTGGATAGATCTGCGGTCTGTCAAGCACTGAGCTGATGAGATGATCTCCTGCACAGAAATCTTGTCCATCCATCCATCCATCCATTTACAGCCAGCTTCCAGCCGAGTCAACTGTTCTGTAAAACCATCCTTCAGACCTCTCAGTGACACTATAGACCTTATATTGTTCTCTCTGTCTCCCAAGCCACCAAAATTCAATGTTTCCTCTTGAACATGCTCATCTTTCCCTGGCCATTGCTTCTTCACCAACGTGATACAAAGAGAAATCATTCAGCTCTCAGACCCACATTAAGCAACCCTGGATCAGCTGAAAAACAGCACTGCAGCACAGAAAAAAAAAGTTTTGTCTGTGAAAAATTGGCTGCCCTACTTTTATAGAATGATATTACTTCATGAAACACCCCTTAATCCTGGGTGAATATTTAAATTCCAGTATCAGGCTTTTCCCATTTGTAGTGGTTTATTCCATTTTGTAGATTTATATGAAACCTTCTGCCAAATACTGCATGGAAACTGTGTCTAATGGCCACTTTGGGTTTTCCCCTGAATTGCCCAGACAACTTCTTTACTTTCTGCCTCTTTGAGTTCATGTTTGCCTTCAGCATCATCAGACTACGTGTTTCACAGAGCAGCATTTGGCACGCCTGCCCCCAGCTAATGTCATTGAGTAGGATCTTAATAGCTTTACTGAAAAGGCTGCAAAAGCCGATGTGAGAGCTAAGCCCAAGCCAAAGCCTACCAAAGCCACAAAAAGTTTATTCAGATCTTATCCCTAAGAATAATCAAGCAACAGTTAAACTAGATTAAAGCAGCTTGTGTTCTACAAAAACATCTGAAGAGCAAACGTCAAGAAGGTTATATAAACCAAAGGAACGTTTACATTAGGACACAGACTCAAGAAAAGCACAATAAGCCATTGTTAGTTACAAATCATCTTGAAAAGTACATGCCAGCCAGAATCTAATAGCATGGAGGTGCTACGGCCCTGTTCTCTGATACAATACCAACAGTATCTCCAAGTTGGGAACGTTTGCCTTCAGCCTATTAATCTAGCCTCACAATTCAGCGAGTGACTTTCCAAACTGGTCCAAATAATTGTGTTTCTTTGGTAAACCACAATGGCACTGCTGTGGAGCTGGAGGTGGTGACTCTCCCTTTGCTGGCAGAAGGGTGGTCTCCAGGTCACCCTACCTCCCTGTCATCCATACACACACAGTGACAGCTATTGTATCACTGGGTACCCGGCTCTTTGGCTGCAAGAATTAGCTGAAACAACCAACTGTTGAGCAGAACTGCTTTCCTATGATTTGCCATTCAATTAAAGTCAATCACAGGCAATCCCCTGAATCCTTTTCTTTCCCAAATAGCTTCAGAACGTAGTGATTGCAGTGATTTAGCAGGCCTGTCCATGCCACATGGGCAATTCCAGCTCACAAGACACCAGGAATGAAGTTGTTCTGTTGCATTAATAGACTAAGACATAAACTCTATACACAGACACTTGGGCTCTGCAACCCTAAAGGGAGCCTGGCATTCCCCTCCTGTATTTTATATCCTATACAGCATGTGTCACTGAGGTCATTGTCCAGTGGAGACAGGTTGGGATCACCTTTGTGACAGCAGTTGCTGTCCCTTCCATGGGGCAGGCTGCATAGGCAGCGGTGGCAGCAGAACCAGGACAAGGGGAATTCACAAATAGGCAGTGAGTTTTCCTTTCTAGCCAAATGCAAGAAAACTCTCTTTGTGAGAGCAAACCATCCACCTCATCTTGGGAATTACCCTGTGGGTGGGATGGACCATGCTCTTGAGGCAAATGTCTCCCTGCACTGACTACAAAAAGGGAGCCCCTGCTCAGGTCATACCAAGGTTTAGGAGAAGCTAATCCTGCCAACGTGACTGTGAAGATTAAGGAAATGTCTGAGAGCTCTAAGGGGAGCCCAGGCCCCTTTTTGAAGTTAAAACAACAGGGACACATGGCAAGAACTTTACCCATATTGGCTGTCAGAGCCAACATCAACAGAATCACAGAATCACAGAATCACAGAATCACAGAATCACCCGGGTAGGAAGGGACCTCAAGGATCATGTAGTTCCAACCCCCCTGCCTAGCAGGGCCACCTAACATACACATTTAGATCAGGTTGCCCAGGACCCCGTCCAACCTGGCCTTGAACACGTCCAAGGACGGGGCATCCACAACCTCCCTGGGCGGCCCGTTCCAGGGCCTAACCACTCTCCTTGTAAAGAACTTCCCCCTAACATCCAACCTAAATCTTCCCTCCTTCAACTTGGATCCATTTCCCCTAGTCCTGCTGTTGTCAGCCCTTTTGAAGAGTTTACTCCCCTCGTGGGTGTAGGTTCCCTTCAGGTATTGATAGGCTGCAATGAGGTCACCCCGCAGCCTTCTCTTCTCCAGGCTGAACAAGCCCAACTCCCTCAGCCTGTCCTCATAGGGGAGGTGCTCCAGCCCCCTGATCATCTTAGTCGCCCTCCTCTGGACCCTTTCCAAAATCTCAATGTCTTTCTTGTACTGAGGGCCCCACACCTGGACACAGTACTCCAGATGGGGCCTCACAAGAGCCGAGTAGAGAGGGACAATCACCTCCCTGCCCCTGCTGACCACCCCTCTCCTGATGGAGCCCAGGATCCCATTTGCCTTTCGAGCTGCCAGAGCACACTGCTGGCTCATGTTCAGTCTCTCGTCCATCAGGACCCCCAGGTCCTTCTCTGCCGAGCTGCTCTCAAGGACCACCCCTCCCAGCCTGTACGGGTGCCTGGGGTTCTTCTGGCCCAAATGCAAAACCTTGCACTTTGCCGTGTTGAACCTCATTAGGTTCACCCGAGCCCAGCTTTCCATCCTGTCGAGGTCCCTCTGAATGGCATCCCTTCCTTCCACTGTATCAACCGCACCACTCAGCTTGGTGTCGTCAGCAAACTTGCTGAGGGTGCACTCAATTCCCTCATCGATGTCATTAATAAAGATGTTGAAGAGCACCGGTCCCAAGACAGACCCTTGGGGGACACCACTTGTTACCGGCCTCCACCTGGACACAGAGCCATTGACCACCACCCTCTGTCTGCGGCCTTTCAACCAATTGCTTATCCATCGGGTCGTCCACCCATCAAATCCACTTCCCTCCAATTTGGAGATGAGGATGTGGTGGGGGACCATGTCAAAGGCCTTGCTCAGGTCCAGGTAAATGACATTGGTCGCCTTCCCTTCGTCCACCAATGCCGTCACTCCATCATAGAAGGCCACAAGATTAGTTAGGCATGACCTTCCTTTGGTGAAGCCGTGCTGGCTGTCTCGGATCACATGCTCATTCTTTATGTGATTGAGAATGTTGTCCAGGAGGATCTGTTCCATGATCTTCCCAGGCACGGAGGTGAGACTCACCGGCCTGTAGTTCCCCGGGTCCTCCCTGCTCTCCTTCTTGTATATGGGAGTGACGTGACCCTTCCTCCAGTCATCCGGGACCTCACCTGACAGCCATGACTTCTCAAATATGATGGAGAGCGGCTCGGCAACCACCTCAGCCAGCTCCTTCAGGACCCTGGGATGCATGCCATCCGGCCCCATAGACTTGTATTCATTAAGTCTAAGGAGGCACTGTCGGACTTGCTCTGCCCTTACAATGGGAAGGGATTTACCTCCTTGGTCCCCACATAGAGGTTTGGGGATGCAGGGCTCAGGGACGTGAAAAAGACTAGAATCCTGGCCAGTAGTGAAGACCGAGGTGAAGAACTCATTCAGCACCTCAGCTTTCTCTTCATCTGTTGAAGCCAGTTCTCCTTTTAAATTTACTGAAGTAGGTACGCCCGTTTTGGCCTGTCTCTTCTGGCCAATGTACCTGTAGAAGGTTTTCTTATTGTTTTTCACGTCCCTTGCCAAGTTCAGTTCTGCCTGCGCCTTGGCTTCCCTGATCCCACGTCTGCGAGTCCGGATGGCATCCCTGTACTCTTCCCAGGTGACACAGCCTTGTTTCCAGAGCTTGTACACCCCTTTCTTCACCCTCAGTTCTCTCAGCAGGTCCTTGCTGAGCCATGCCTGTTTCCTACCTCGCCTGCCCACTTATTCAGAAGAATGGAGACCTCTTCTGCTTCCAGGAGGGCATCCTTGAAGAGCAGCCAGCTCTCCTCAACAAAGAAGAATCAAAGAAGAATCAGTGTGCACCACTGTGTACCATGTTGAGGAGGAGAAAGGGAAAAAGGCATGAAATGTGACACTAAGGTAAGACAGATAAATGTTGCCAAGTGAGTTTATTCACCAAAAAGGTGTTTGGAGAGCTTAGAACACAAAACAAGCTGAAGGAGAACTGTTGGGGAACATTGGTCCATGAAGACTCATGTGCAAGGCAGGTTGTTTCTCACGCTGGACTCCAGTGCAGAGTTAACATGCGCTCATACTCACGAGGTTGAGAGTCCTATTGCTCTCCCTAGTGAAAAGAGAAGAAAGAATTAGACACAGAATAGACTTTGTGCTGCGGCCTTGTTCCTCTCCTTACTAGCCCAAACGTTGATAACACTGACGGAAGATAAAGAACAGTCTCAAAAGGCCAACTACTTCCTTTCATTATGAACATCAAAGGAAAGATGACAGGTTTCACACATTTGAAACACTCCAGCTAGTTTGGTGAAGTACTCTCCCCATACCCTGATGAGCTTGTGGGACAAAACTGTATGCTGGTGAAAATTAGAAAAATGTCATTGAAGTTAAATAAAACAGGAAGCCACATACAGATTGGCAGAAATGGGTGCTTTGCATTTTCTCTCAAAAAGCAAAAAAAAAACACCTTGCACAAGTCATGGTGCATCAGAAATGTCTAGCACACACCCATAAAGAATTAGTGAAAAACACCTTACAAAATCAACCCTGCATTTGTAGCAGTTACAGGAAGGGTTTCACTCCTATACTTACAGGTACGCATTGCAGAAGGTACACCTGTTGCCATATGTGTTGCCATCAGAGCCACAGTGGGGTATGTATTCCATGGTGCAGATGGGAGAGACTTGCTGGATCCCATGGCAATGTTCCTGCACACACAAGGAAGACATGAGTCTCTGCCTGGGATCAAACAGAATTTCCCCAGCACAAAGAGTGAAACTGGAAAATCACGGCAATAACCAACTCAGTTCCTCCTGGTGAGGAATGAGACCTCACACTATTCCTGTGCACTGCCATGTCCATTCCCAAGGGATGGATGGCAGATATTCTACAACCAGCGTGACGTTCCCAAAGGACCTCCCCAGGGCTGCACACTGCTCCCCCCGTTTTTGACGTGGAACAGAGGACAGTCCCCTGTGATTCTAACAGTCATCCTATCCAGCTCTTTGTTCCCATCCTTTTCCACTCGCCTTTGTTATATCCTCTTCACATCTTCCATTCTTTCTCTTGCCAAGATTGGTCCGCTGCTCCCTGGAGGAAGGAGAGATGGACGTTAGCAGAAACCCTTCCCATTCACAACCATGGTATAAGAGCACAACCTTGTTCCCATGTGGTACATGGGACATTTTCAGATTAATTAGCTAAGCATTACATGAGCAGCATTAGCAAGAACATGCCCTCAAAGACTAGGGATGTGTCTTATGGAATAGTGCTTTCCCAGGCCGTGAACCCCTTTTCTGGGTCTCTGGGGGCAGTGGGCCTTGATAAACACCCATCTCAAACACCAATCATGGCAACAGGGATAAGCAGTCAGGACCCATGCAGCACGAGGTTTTAGACAGAGCCCTCACATGTTACTCAGCACTCAGAGATGTGTCCAATCACAGCCATAGTGGATCCCCTGCAGAAGAACGAGTACTCACAGGTTGTGAGCGCACAGCGTGCATTCGCTGGCATAGGTGACGCCATTGGTAGCACAGACTGGATCGTAGATCATGGTGCAGGCCATCAGCTCCCTGCCATCCTGCATTGTGGAGGTTCTGTACTTGCTGCAGTCAAGCTGGGAGACAAAGGCAGCAAATACTCTGTATAAGGGAACTCAGGCACAACCCCCCTGCTTACGCCTCTGCCTTTCAAGATCTGCCACAGGATGGGTTATGGTTATGTATTGACTCATTCTTCATTGAAAACTATCAATTTTCTGTCACAGCCTCATGCTGGAGAAGACTGAATCAAAGCTTGAAGGCGCGTATCACTCATTCAGCTCTGCATTTATCATGATGCCCTTAGAGCTTGCTGAACAACTGGGACACTGCAAAATGCAGCTCGTAAATAATCTGCAAAACAAACTGCTATGATTTATGCACTTCCTGCAAGAGAAGCTCAATGTGACCAAGGAGTATGTCATGGCCCACAGGAATTGAGGAGATGTGCTGACATGCCTTTTGTTGCAAGGGGCTGGTTCTGTGTGTTGCAACCAGCCAGAAGGACAGACAGCAGTTCAAAATGATTTATGCCATTTGAAGAACCGGCCTTGAGTTTTAGCTATCCCAGTTTCTCCAGTGTGAGCTCTTCCTCAATGATTTATGCATCTTGGTCTGAGCACAGAGCATATCCAGGAAACAAAGCAATGACATTTCATAGTCTGTTTGTATAGAAATGAAATATCTGACTCACAACGTTGACTCTTTCAAACACATGATAATGAGATGGCTTTGTTTTTCTATTCCCCAGTGAGCGTAAATAGTTTAGAGCAAGCCACATATAGCTTATCTGGTATTTTTTACAAGATTCATTGTTGGTATACATTACAGTATATCACATTTACAATAAAAAGTAAGAGGGGCTTGAATCCTCTGATACATTAGGTATAAGCATCCAAAATGCAGGTAGTTTTCTAATCTTTGTAGAACATCCCTTTGCACAGCACAGGTATCCAGAAGGCACCAAGTACCTGGAGGTGCTCTATGTCCCTTTCCATACTGCCAGAACAGATAGCTACACTCCCATGGCAGGTATGATAGGCTGCTGTGGGAAAGACATTTCTTCCTGTAATGCCTTAAATCATATAAGCTACCTGTCTCATAACTCATTCCTCACCTGTCTTCTTCTCTTTCTTTCCCTGACTGCATGCAGAAAATGCACAGCGTTCCTGCTGCCAGGGTTGATGTTAACCTGCAGGAAGGATGGCAGCAGGAGGGCACAACACAGCATCACCAAAACCAGCCAGCATTGTGCATGTTAGGCAATAAAGCATCACCTCAAGATCCTGTTTTCCTATCTATCACTTACCTCAGGAACTTCCTCTCTGCACCTCCCATCATGCTTTTTGGCAATGCTGGTTCCTAATTCACTGGAAGAGAGAGAAAACAGAGTTGGCAAAGCTCGACACGCAGCCATGGTGATACATGAGCGGATGACCTGCAGGGCTTACATGTTGTGGGCACACAGAGCACAGTCGTTGCTGTAGGTGACACCGTCAGTGCCACAGATCTCCTGCAGGATGAAGGGGCAGGCGGCAATGGCTTCACCATTCTTACTATTGCCCAGGTACTGGGTGCAGTCAAGCTGGGGAGAAAACAGTAATGATGCTGAGTCAGCTGCTGGGAGACAGACTGCTTCTCGAGCCACAGGAAAATCAGGGTTGATATCAGTTTAGTCTCCCATTATAAATGAATTAATTGTAGTTGGGTTTGGTACTGTTTGCTAACAAAGGGAATGCAAAGAAATAGCAGACCAGAAAGATAATCTTCCTTATGTAGTGTATGCCCCAAAACAAGCATTATTCGAAGGAATTTGATATGAGGAGTTCGGCATTACGTCTGGTTTGACATTAGGTCATGCCTGACTTAACTAAGCCTTAGATTTTGTTTCTGCATTTTCAAAACAGCAACAGGAAACTGTCCCACCAGCCTCTGCTGCAAAAATCTTCACAGTGTTTAAAAACAGTTCCAATACTTGAGGATAAATAAGCAAGTATCTACTGACAGCACTGGAAGTCAGTCTACACTAGAGAAACTTCTGACACTTCACAATTGTTTTGCATACCTTCCCCTGTGTAGTATCTCTTATTACCCACATTCCCCACACATCCAAGAGCAAATTATAGCAAAGACAGCATTATAACAGCGTGTCTTTACTATAGAAAAGGTACAGCATTCCCTTGAGATGCACGAAGTTATTTTCAGTGTTTTAGAGCTGCTCTGCATAAGCAGAATAAATGTGCTGAGATATTATCAGCACATATTGTTACCGTGCATGTTTATAGAGCTATTTCTGCATGCATTCTGTGAGCAGCCTTTTCTTGGCTGACCACAGTATGAAAATTTTTTAACCTGTCTGCTGCAATGGGAATCCCAGCACTGAATGAGTACACAGGCATCTAACACAGCTTCTGCTCTTCCTCTCCTACTGTGCTAAAATGGGCTCTGACATTTCCCTCCAGAGACCTGCAGTATTGGGACACTTCGTCACCCAAGTCCTGGCCCATTCCCCTTCTCTGTGGCCTGAATGGACAGACCCTGGTTAGCAACCTCTGCACCCACAAGGCAGGAATACAGGAGACAGCACTCATCTGACACTTACCGGGGTGCTACGCTCCTTGCATCTTCCATCATGGCTTTTCTTAACCTCAGTCCCATGTTGTCTGAAAGGGAGAGGCTGTCATTAAGGAGTGTGATTTCTAAGCAGGAACAGCCTTCTCAGGTCTACTTGTAGCAGACCCATTCTCTTTTTCCTCTGCACAAATGCCACAGCCCTCATAGGATGCTCAGCTGTTAGCTGGCTCTCCCACAGCTCCCTGAGGATCACATCAGGGGGAAGCCATCTGAAGTACTAACATGACTAGTTGTTCCAAAGTAAGTCTTGTATGCTGCACTTACACATTATGGGCACAAATGCCACACTCATTGTCATAAGTAAATCCGTCTGTGCCACAGACTGGGAGCAGAATCCTTGGGCAGCGCACCAGGAGTTTGTCACCACCGATTCTTCTTGTTGGGTATTGATCACAGTCAATCTGCAAGAAGTAGAAGTGTCAGCCCTGGAAAAGTCCTTTTTTCAAAGACAAAACTTAGCATTGCCTCCTGCTGCTCTCCGTGTCTTTTATGCTGGGATGCTGAAACAACACTTGTGCTACACTTCAGTTCTCTCAAAGTCAGTCTGAGTCAGCTCTGCAGAAACTCTCTTATGCCCAGGAGGAGGTATATGGCACTGTATAATCTGTCAGATGCCAAATCACCAGGGCAAACAGCTCAAGCAATCCCAAATGCCAGTGAGCTTCACTTCTGATCTAAAGGGGTCACAACCTACTGAAACAGTTTGCAAGATATGGCAAAAAAGAAAAAAAAGAAAAAAAAAAAAAGATATATCATCTCCTTTTCATTCTGCACTACAGAATCAAACAAAAGAAGGCAAGAAAATAGTAAAGGACTTTTCTGGCAACACATTTAGAGATGATCCTTAAAAGAAGACCTAAGTTCTTCCTGACCAACTTCCACATTGTTTGCATGTTGGATACATGTTGGCACATCCCAGAAGACACGTGCAGAGAGACAGGCTTCAAGCCAGCTCATTTGCAGAGTAGATGTGGCCTCAGAAAATAGTTCAGTGGGTTGAGGCAAGGGGAGAAATACACCTTATGTTGTATACTCACATCAGGAATCTCCTGCCTGCATTTTCCATTGTGCTTCTTGCTGACATGGGTCCTCTGCTCTCTGAAAGAGGGAGATAAAGTTAAGTAAGCAGACACTTTAGCTCTTGGTTTAAGCACTTGCATGCAGAATGAACCAGACATAGCCTAAAGCAGATACCTAACAGAGGGCTTCGGCCTCTCCGGGTGATTGTATTGATACAGCTACATTACTCTGCTCGTTAACAAGCTCATCACGTCTTCTCATGTTATTTAAAGCAACATTCTGAACTATTCCTTTCTCTGCTCAGTCACTGCCCAGCCCACAGACTAATCCAAGGAGCTGTGTTCTGAATCTTGCAGATTTCCCCTCACGATCACGAAGAAGGCATCAGAACAAAACGGTAAAAACAACAACAAAATCCAGTTCTTAAGAGACTTGAAGAAACAGGCATAAGCAGCAACGTAGAAGGAAGCCTACCAGCATGGCAAAGTATTGCTGGCTACTTTGGAGGTGTGGGATATGAGCAGCACTTACGCATTGTGGGCGCAGATCCCGCATTCATTGTCATAGGTGAAACCATCTGTGCCGCAAACCGGGCTCAGGATCCTTGGACAGGCTACCAATGTTCTGCCATCCTCAGAGACTGTGGATGGGTACTTACTGCAGTCAACCTGTTGAAATAAGGAGAATAAGCCCTCCCAGAGCCTGTGCTATGCGGGAAAAGTCAGTGTAACACTTTTCCGTTCTGTATTCCAGGCTTCCTAGTTTTTGTGACAGGGAAAGCCCTAATACATTAACTAAATTATCTATCAGAAATGGCTTTCGGAATGCTACCCTAATTCTCTGGGAGACAAGAAATAGCACCTCTCTTAGAGAACAAAGCCTTCAGGCAGAGGATCATTACAGACTTTTCAGTCCTTTTCTCATCAACACAACAGTCTTGAATTAGGTGGGAAATATTTTTCAACAGCTGGAAATCTGATTAATACTGTTTTGGTTTGTGTTGGTTTTTCTCCTTCCTTCTCCAGTGCTGTGATTACTTAATAATTCAGATTCCCTGCAGTTAAGCATGGCAGCTGAAGTGATAAAGGAGGAATCTGTTAGAAAACGGGCTCCCTGCATCCCAGAATTTTTGTGCTGCAATGTACAAGCTTTTCTTCCTGAGGCACTGGACTCTTACTCCAGTATAAATATACAATAAGCTATGCCCTATAAATATGTATGCTTGGCTCTCTTATGAATCTCACTTTATCTAACAAAGCTACCAGCACTGGAATTTTGAATGCTTGTTACAAAGGGTGGAAATGCTTGTCACCTCCAGAGAGAAACCTGCCAATCTGCACAGCACAACTCACAGAAAATCTGGGGCCTCTTCCTTTGCTGCTTTGTTTCAAAAGCCACCCTCACCAGGCAGGAAGCAAGAGCGTGTACCAGAACCCCTGGCCAGCCCTGTCATACATTTTCTTAGGTAAATCAATGGGATTCTCTCTGTTAACAGCCCTAGGAGATGGATTTGTATTTCTATTACACTTACTGAGCCAATCTCCAGCTTGCATTCTCCATCATGCAGTTTGGAAATGTTGGTGCGATGTTCTCTGAAAGAAAGAGCTGTTTTGGTTAGGAAGCCCTGAGAAAAAGCTAAGATACTCAGGCAAGAAAGCAAAGTTGCACCCATCATGTGAGGCATGGCTGAGAGGTCTGGATGCAGCCCACAGGTGGTAGCAACCACTCATGAGCAGAAAATGCATGGTATTTCCATATCATACAGCACTGAGCAACACTTTGATCTATTCATGCCTCTGCTGTGGGTTGTCCTCTGTCTTTTTCATGATTCCCTTCATGGGCACAGACTGAGAATGGGGAAGAAATTTGCAGCTGGCTGGAGAATTACAAGTAGCCAGCTTCAAAGAGTCTCACAGTAACGTCTACCCTAAAAAAGACTTAGAAAGTGTTTTACATAAGTGTTTCCAAGAGACTTAGCTATTTCTAATTACCCAGAAAGATGTTCTACAGAAAAGACTTACGCATTATAGGCGCAAATCCCACATTCATTGTCATAAGTGAAGCTATCTGAGCCACAGACTGGTTTCAGAATCCTTGGGCAGGCTACCATGACGTTGCCATCTCTTACAACTCGGTGGTACTGAGTGCAATCAACCTGTAAGAACAGCAGGAATGGAAATAAATAAGTAAACAAGTAACAGGCTGAGCAGAGAGCTGTGGGTGCCCCATCCCTGGACGTGCCCGATGCTGATTTGATTGGAGCCCAGGCAGCCTGATCTGGTGGGGCGCAGCCAGCCCAGGGCAGGGGGGTTAGAGCCCAATGATTTGTAAGGTCCCTTCCAACCCCATCTGTTCCTTGATTCTATGAAATAAAATTCTTTGCGGGCACCAACAGAGCAAGACCTTGTCTTCCCGTTGGACTTACTGTAATGTGCCTTGGCCTGCACTCTCCATCATATTCCTTCTCCACGTTTGCGCTGTGTTGCCTAGAAGGAAGCAGACCTGTGTCAGAGATTGCAGAGAACAGCCACCACCCCCGGCTGGAGGTCAGCACCCTGGTGCTAACTCGCATACTCCTCCACACAGCCCACATTTTGGGGACAGAGCCCTCAGTTCTCCTGCCCCGCAGCTCCCCTGGGCTTCCACAAAGCTCACCTGTTGTAGAGGCAGATCCCACACTCGTTGCTGTATGTGGAGCCATCTGTGCCACAGACAGGCTTCAAGTTCCTCGGGCAGGCTATCCAGCTCGTCCCATCCTTGCCAATGCCGCCGGCATACAGACTGCAATCAACCTGTGGAAGCAGCACAACGTCAGCCCTAGGGTCAGCGCCCACAATGAAAGGCAGCCTGGCAACCTCCTGCCACCCACAGCTCCAGCCAGGACAAACACCTGAGGCATCATTTGGAATCTGTTCAGGCAGTCAGGAGATAGGAATCTTCTGATCACGCTTTCCTGCAGAGGACTGGGGGAGGCATGACATGAAGGAAGGAGAGCTGTGGGTAAGACAGTGCCTAACGAAGGCAGCTGGTAATTGGGAGCCTGGCCATGCTCCGCAGCCGCTCAACTCAAAATCTGATCTTTTCCAATCACACTGCAGTCTCTGGTGATTTGCAGGAATCTCATAACTGCGTAGGAAGAACCTGCAGACAAATGCACCACACAGACCCTGCTGCTTTCCTCGCTTTGATATGGGTATAGGCAGGAACACTATACTGTATGTCTTACTGTATAGAAAAAGATACCAGCATCATGTCTTTGATGCTTTCAAGCTTATCATCTTAAGACAGCTTTCCTCTCAAGGAGGTAACTACTGCTCCTTGACTTGGACTAACTCAATTATATGCAAAAGTTAACATAATAGGATCACATAATTCTTTCTTTCTTCATTTTAGTTCATGAACAGAAAATAGTATAAATGGGTGTGTTTTACTTTTTCGTGACTTGGCAATATCATTCAATCATGCACTGGCAAGTATTATTTGAGCAACCAGGCTTTCGTTAGATTAATCCACTTGCGCATCAGGTAATTATATACTGTTCTTGTTTGACCAGAAGCCTGGAATAGAAAAGAATAAATGGAAAAAAAATCTGTAACTCACCTCAATTCCAAAGGTAATATCTAAAAGAAAAGCGGAGACAGAAAACAAACACATATTACTAATATGCAGAGATGTCATATGCAAATCTTTTCATGAAACAGTTACATGTAGAGACTGTCGTTGATTGGCTTATTGGGTTTAAGAAAATGCAATTTTGCATTATGCCAGTGGTGTACATTCATAACATGAATCAGAGGTTATTAAATGAAGTTCCATTGCACTTTCAGTAGGAGGCCACGTGTGTTAGCCAGTTCTTAAGATGCTTCAGGGAAGAAATGCAGGTATTTTCAAGCCTGCACTGAGTTTAAACTCTTCTGCAAGACTTTGTATTTGACTTCCAAGAGCTCAGACATGCACATTTCAGGTGACTGTTGACCACTAGCACTGTCCTTCCCACAACAAACTTCTCAGTTACAAGGAACAACACAGAAAATTTACAGATGATACAAAATGCAGTGTTTGTGTTGCTTACATGGACACAGATGCCATTTCACACAGCTTTGCTTCGCTGTTGTACTCAGTGCTTCCACGTGCAAACTCCTGCCCTGCACTTAGCACTGCTCCCTCAGCAATTTGCTCCTATAAGCCATGATGAAAACAGTCGCCTGTATAAGGTTTGCTGAAGCCTGGATCTTGAAGTCTAGTGTTTTGTTGTGCTCTCAGAAAGAACATTCCTTCATGGAACAAGTTCTCTAACACATTACTACACCCAAATACTCTCACAGATAGCCTAGTCTCTCATCTAGCTATAGTCACCTATGTGGTATAGTAGGAAACACTCACCTGCAAAGCAGCAGAGGGCCAGAGCCACTTGTACAAAATGCTTGGCAGTCCTCATGGCAGAGCGACTCGATGCCCACACAGCTTGCTTGCTCTCAAAGTGGGAGAGGAAGGGCAGAGGTAACAGCAGGAATATATAGCGTGTTGTCATATCAAATGGTCCCACCTTGTGATGTAACACCCAATCTGTCATCAAGACGGGAAGCCAAAAACGTATTTACCCAGCTCAGGGTTTCTAGCTAATGATTGACGTGGGCACAATTGCCAGGAAGGGGCCTTTTGTGTGTCTTAAGGGGAGCCAGGGAACAAGGAACATCCCATGGCCCCTCTGCTCCCGGATCTGCCCCGGTGTGCCGCAGCTCTCATTTGCCCTATGGCTGGCTACACACAGTCAAGTCTTCCTCTTCCTCTGCCATTTTAACTGAGCTCTGAACGGATAGCAGAAGCCCTCATTATTTAACCTCAGAGCGTGGTTTTGTGCTCCTCATCACTGCATTTCATCTCAGCTTGAGCCCAGGCAATCACAGCCTAGAAGGTCACCCCATTCTCTGTGGGAGAAATCCTGCTCTTCTGCTGTTTAAAAAAAAAACAAAAAAAAACAACAGCAGCAATCTGCTCTGTGTGTCTGCTTTTTATGCATTAATGCAAGGAACAAAAATGTGAAGTTTGGTCCTCAGATCCACTTTTCTGTCTGCTCACTGCTAACTCCTGTGGGTACCCCACCTGCTCCTCTGCGGTACACTTCCACATCCCCCATAACCTCACCCTGACCTCCTTCACCAAGCCTAGGTGACACCACCCCACAGGGCAACAGGTCAAATGTTTTTGCTGCCTGGGTAGACTAGATCTACTGTACTTCCTTTATCTAGGAAGTCTGCCAACTTTGTGAAGATTGATATTAGCCCATGCGTGATTACCTTCCAAGCAAGTTTACTGTGCACATTAATCATTCCTTTATACTTCACGTCTTCAGTTTTCTTCAAACATCTCCTGAAGGTTTGCCCAGTACTAAAGTAGCATAGCTTGGATGGGTTCTAAATGAGTTTTTCTCCTTAAGTAGATTTTTATAAACTGTAAAGGTTGAACACAAAAACAAAACAGTTTTCTCAACCAGAATCCTAGCTTTGCCAAGTTTTAATCTTTCATATTTTGTACTCACTAATCAAAATCTCTATTTGCAGATCTACTTTCAGTGTGATTTAAACAGAGCGGGCTCAGGTTGAATCATCAGGTTTATTTTCTAAGGGAAGTACATCTCCAACACCCCTCGCACTTGAAAAGCAAACCAACAATAACATGATTTTTGGGATTACTTAGTGGAAAACTCTATTTGCTCTCACATCCAGTAGCTCTGCTAATATTAGTACTTTGCAGTATGCATCCACAGAGTTAAAACCTCCCCAGATATCAACATTTCCAGCCAGAACATAACCATTTCCAGGTCTGTCTATTCTCATACCGTATCTGATATTCAGCTCTGATATCTCCTGCCTTGTTCCTTATCTCAGTATCACCAAATGTCAAGGACTCCAAACCTTTGGACCAATGTAGCTCTCAACTAGAAGGACCTCTATTCATTCTGATTACAATATCCATCTCTCTGTGCCTATTGCAGCCAAGACTATCATCAATTAGTGCTTCCTGGCAGAGGAAAATGTGTCTTGACAGCTTAATTGCCAAACTCTGTAAAGCCTGTCACGGTCAAGAAAATTCCTGCCAATGTCCACAAAGATGACACCTGAATCTTATCGGCAAGGAGACAGTATTTGCAAACTAAATTTGCAGTTAAAATAGATTGACTCAGCATGTTCTATCAAGATCACAGCAATTGTCTTCCAGCTAAGTTATTAAATTCAAGGAATGTTTGCTATAGGATACAGATTAAAGGGACAGAACAGCAAACACCTGTCAGTAATGTAGGGAAGGAACTGACATCTAGAAAATATCGCTGCAGCTGTAGCTATGCCTTTGCTAAGGCAAACAGCACCGGTCTTGGGGTCTCTGCATAATGCACAAGCAGCCCCATGCTGCAGCCCTGCAGGCAAGCTAGCTGCTCTGTGGAGCAATTAGGAAGAGCTTTTTCCATCAGCTATCCGTCCATCTCATCCTCTTTGCTCATTTTCACTTTGCCAGCAGCGTGCCTGTGCTAACAGCAAGGTGTTTCTTTTCAGCCCTTCAGCATCAAGGTAAACTGTGAATTTTCATGTGGTTTTGTATTTTGCAGTTGGTTGTATTGACATCTTACTGCCTTCAGTGACCTACTCAAAAAGAGCGCTCATACCTTCATGCTGGGGAAGTACTGTAGACCTCTTCCAGCTCTTTGTCATGTACTGCAGACCTGGTTGGAGGGCTGCTTAGCAAGAAGTCTCCTGCAGAAGGCTGAAGTAGGGCAGGTGCCAAATGTTGGACAAGAGCTCTGTGTAGAAGGGAGACTTGTAGTGCAGGGAAATGTACCAAAAGGGGCTAAATAGGAGCCCTAAAGACCTGAGAGAAAAGCCTGTTCATCAGACCCCAAGTATAAATCAGATGGACCACAGAGCTGAACCTGTGATAATCCAGGGAGACAAGGCTGAAACCCTCAGGAATCCGTATGCTGTGGTTGCTTGGAAGGGTTCAGCATCCTAGGGACGTACGGACAGCCACGAGACAGCTCTGCAGCAGACACACGGGGTCCTCCTACGCAAACAGTGTCAGGCTCCTGCAGAGGCCGTACCACAGCATCACACTTTCATGCAATCATCGCTTTCCACATCGCGCTGCAGCATGCACAGACTGCTGCTCTGTTGGCCATGGGAGTTGGTGGGCAGAGCTGCTAGACTGCAGGGATTGGGAAATAGCAAGGGAGTACAAGGTCTGCAAAGGGTTTTGCCAGAATCAACAGTCCTCAGAGCAGCATTTGCATGCCCTTAAGGATTGCATAAGTACCTGACACCTTTTATGCAAAAAAGCAGGAGGCTCAAGCCCCTGCAGGGAGCAGTTGAGCTCAAAACCCAGCTGTGCCTGGGAGAAGTTGAAACGCTGTGAGAAGCAGGAGATTCGTGAGAGGCCTGGAGGCTGCCAATTCATAACACCAGTCCTACAAAGCCTTAGAAAACACTGTGAGCCACATGGGGTCAGTGGGTCTTGGCAGAAGAAACATCTGTAATAAAGTGCAATTTACAGCAAACTGAAGACTTCCCAGAGTGCTGATACCTTTCCAGGTTCATAGAGGACTGCTACGGTCTCTTTACAGTGTTAAAGGGCGCCACAAAGAGTAACCAAGAGCAAAACAGAGGACAGGATAATATATTTGGAGCACCTCTTGATCTTTTTGCCTCCTCCTTCTTAGGAACCCTGTGGAAATGACACATTGCATCGCTCACCTGGAGCCCTTCCTGGAGGTCAGCTGCTTAGAGCACTGCTGGGGACAGACATCGCCTGCAAGCCACCGGATCAAAGTGCAAAAGCAGGCCCTACAAGAGGAAGGAATGATGGAAGAAGGAGCAGTGGGTAAACCTGCTAAAAGGAAGGAGTTAGCATTGCTACCTATGGTAGGCTCACTAACTACAGCACAGGCAGCTTTAGCACACACTGCTGTGTGCCTTCTTAGCAGTTTTGTAATCTGATTAATAAACCCTTATACCAGCTGTGATTTCTGTGCATAATTTCTGCTGGTAGCAGGAGAAATTCAGAAGGTGCTCAAATCCAGCAGAAGAGGCTACTAGGGCACCCTCCTCATCAGCTCATTGGTTTTGGAGGACAATTAATGCAGGTTTTATGGATGATTATTTCAAAATCTAAATGCTTGAAATCACTGCAAGTTATAATAGCGCTCTCAAGTGCGCCGATTTTCATTTGCAAGAACCTATTTTAAGCCTCAAATCGTGTACTGCTTTTACAAAAATCACATAGAGGTCCCTGCACACGATTTTAGCTGGAATCAGTGAGCAGACATCGTTAGTGCACATTTTTACCATCTCATATTCATTCTTCTCAGAAGGTATAAATAACATTCAAGGATTCACCCGCTCAAAGGCAGAGGAATCTTGCATCCCTAGAAACAGCTAAATTGGATCCAACTGGTGACTTCTGCCATGCATAACTGTGAGGTGGGATTTTCCCACGTAGAAATAAGTAGCAATAACATATTTCTAAACCACAGTGTTTGCATACATTAAAAAAAAAAATAAAAATTGGCACACAAAATATTAATCTTGTGTCAAAGCCTGCTGATAATCAAGCTATAGACAGATAAATGTGATACATGCGGAAGTACTTTATGAGAGTAAAAAAATCGATTTTCATTAGCTGCATTAAGAAAAAAGAGATTGTGATAACTTAATTGAAAAAAAAAAAAAAAAAAAAATCAATATCTGTGGAGGGAGCCAAATTAATTGGCATTGAGTGAAATTCTGCCAAAACCTCAAAGTCACTCCGGCCTTATCTACAACAGAGAGTATTTGCAGATCAGGTCACAGCTAAAGTGGACTCAAACACTGTACGTTCACTCAAGGTCTTCTGGAAATGTCCTGCAATAAAGTTTACACAAATAAGAACATATTTGCTTTAAGTAACAGCTATAAACGAAAGAACAGGAAATACACACGGCCCATCGGGTGTTGGCTGGAAGAGGCATGACTGCAACAGTTAAAGGTCCTGCACTCCAGGATTGGTGCGTAGGAATAGAGTTCCATCTGTGGAACTCTCTAATGCAAACCAATTAAAATCTCCAAACAACCCTCTGAGGTAGGTAAGCATCTTTTAATGTCCATTTTTACAGGCAAGAGAAAAGGGCTGAAGGGAGACAAAGAGATACACCCAAGGCCCTACAGCGAGCCAGAGAACCCAACTGCTGGTCCCTACTAACAGAACACAGACCACATTCTTCTTCTCTGTGTCTGACATCTTCACTTGGGTTTTGGTGCTTAGTGCTCAAGGGACACGTGGCGAGCAGCCGGACCGGGGACTCACGCGTCCCTCCTGTGAGGCTCAGTGAAGAAAAGCAACAGGACGCTGTGGAGTTATCTTTATTGTAGAAACATGCTAAGACACAGCGAGGCGGCAGAGCCCGAGCCGAGCAGCGACTACAACAACATGCGTGGGGCCAACGTGGGAAGCCACCACTGGGTCCCCACAGCCCTTCACCCTCCACCTGAGCAAGGACAGGCCTGTTGGCTGCAGAAGGGGATGAAGGTGGATCCAACAGCACTGGGAACTCAGCAGCTTCCCTGGTGCTTGACATCAGATCTTCCTTTACTTGTCCTAGAGAAACAGGGGGCAGATGGTTTATTACTATAGTTCCAAAAGGCAAGGGACATAGAAGAACCACAAGGAAAGCTCAAAGCTAGGTTGCTTTGGGCCACCTCCACCTCCTTGTGATAGGGAACTGCAGTACTCTGCTCTGCCAGCATCCTTTCCCTCTGCAGGGATACCTGAGGGGAAAAGGAACAGGCAAGGCCCAGCCCAGTAGAGATGAAGTCTTCATGATATTTGCATATCCCAATGGGTTCAGCCCCCTCAGCAGGGGCTTCCCTTCACCCTGCTACTTCTGCAGAAGACACACACCCCATCGTCGTGCTGTGGCAATAGGGAAGGGTGTGTTGCAGAGCCCTTTGCCCCAGACATACCCCACAGTCTGCCCAGGCAAGGTTTGACACCCAAACCCTTGTGAAATGTGGACAAGTTGTCCAAGAGGGAGCAAATCACCGCACCACTGTACCTTTGGTCACAGCTGATCCCTGGTATTTGCTGGCAGTCTGAACTTCATTATTTCTGGAAAGAAAGAGCAAAATAAGTCCATCCACAAGCACAACTACTGTTTTACGCTGGCAGAGCATTAGGACCAAGACGACAGCCCCTTCAGACAGCTCAGTGGCCACAGGAACCAGCTGGGATGCAGAGTGGCACTGGGGCAGTGGATGGGTCACTGCTAGCCTCAGAAAACAGACAAATTTCAGCCTGGATCTACGTGCTTTCCAAAACCAATATCTAGCTGGAAAAGGTCCTGGTTTGTTGTTTGTTTGGGTTTTTTTCTTTTCTTCTCCCCTTCTTCTACATTCTTAAGAAAGGCATGACAAAAAGAGCACTGTAAGAAAATGGCCTTGCCCATTAGAAATCTGGGAGTTCTCTATTCTTCAGAAAACAGATTAAAAAGGAGAAACTGGATATCCTTTTTTCTGCCTGATCTGTTAACTAACATGGACAGACTGGTGTCTATCGCATGGGAGATCTGTGAAAAAGCAGCTGAACAAAAAGAGAAACTGCAAGAAAAAAAAATACAGCACTGAAAGCTAAACATTCTGGAAAGACCCACCATTAATACAGATGTCACAGCATGGAGAACACAGTGGCCAGCTGCCTTGTTAAAAATAAAAATAAAAATCGAAACCCTGGACTCTGCTACATTCATCTGCAGTAAAGCAGAACAGGATCAGAGTTGGCTGCTGATGGCTCAGACCTCACACATGCAGCAGGGGCCCTGCTGCCAGCCAGCCCCAGGGCTCTCTCTGCAGGAAGGTTTTCCACCACATCAGTGCATGCTGTCCAGTCACACCCTTTAACGTCAGATCTCTGTCCAGCCAGACTTCTCCTGTCCCTTCCTACAGCCATCCCTCCCTGATGGCAATCCAGCCGCTGTTAGGGAAGGACTGCCACAAACCTGGAAATCCAGGAGGAGCTTTGCTAGAAGGAATGGCTGCAGGCTCTGAGCTTGGACACACGTTTTCTCAGGCAGCACAGCATTACCGTGGCTAATTTCAAAACACAACTCAAGGACAAACTACACTTTTGGGCAGCAACATTTTTCCAAGACTCAAGTCTTTGGGCCTTCACATCTTTATTCTGCACATTGCAACAGCCTAAAACCATTTCTGATGCCAAAGGCACTGTGATCTCCTCCACACACAGTGAGTGCCTGGGCCTTCAGAAGGATGCATTAAGCTGAATGTTAGCATGAATTTCAAGTGGCAGAAAATAACACTGATCAGTACATTGTCCATAAGCTTCCAACTGAGAAAAAAGGGAAGTCTTTGATGGACACAAGGGGTTTGCTAAGGAAATGGGCTTCCAGATATTTCCAATCTGACTCTTCAGGTGACACAATATACATAAAGAAAGAAATAATAAGTCTTTGTTTGGAGGGGTGTTTTTGTGGAAGATTTTCCCCAGTGGAAAAATCTTATCACTTCCACTTTAATTGCTTCCAGCTCTCCTTGGAATAGCTACAAATTGTCTGACTTCTGGCATTATGGCATATTCCTCTGATTGCAGAGACCCAAGAGCTGTAACATCTTGGTAAAACACAGAATGGCGAGGAATCGCAGCCCAGGCACAACTCTGAGGAAATCCTGTCTGGTTTTCAGTTGCCATGGTACACCCAATCTTGTCTGTCTCCAGCAGCAAAAGCACAGCCACCAACAGGTATGCGTAGTGTCTCCACTCCAAGCATACATGAACCAGCAATGGCTTCATCACACCAAAGAACAAGACAGACAGACATGATCACAAGCAAAACTGTTTTTCTCTCACTTTTTCTTCAGCTTTAAACAGTGTTGAGAGCACTCTGGTACCTCACAGAAGAGAGGAAGAGGAATGGGAATGCCTCATTTCTAAAGTTTTGGGTATGGCTGGATATCTTGGCAATGAGCAAAGTAAAAGCCTTATGACGGTAATTTTGTTCTAAAGCTTTTCAACAGGCAATGCTGTTCTACCTACAAACACTGTCAGCAAATTCATATTCAGACGCCATCTCTCTCATTGAAAAAAATATAAATAAATAAATAAGTAAGTAAGTAAATAAATAAGTCTTGCACAACTTCTCCATTTAGCTGATTTGATATTTTGATCCATTCCAGGTATGGAATTGGAGTAAACGTTAATGTTTCCCTGGGGATGAATATTCAGTTTCTCAGCAGTCCATGCCAACACTGAGGTCAGTCCCATACACCCAAAACACACAAATTAGGACAGGCTCCAAATCAAAGCTCTGGATGCTGCTGAGCTGCCATGTGTAGGAAGACAAAGCACCACTGACAAATCTTTGACTCATCTACTATAGGAGAATCACACAAGATTCAAGACCTTTCCCGAAAGAATACCACTTAGGGAATACATTTCCTTCCCAACCAAATCCCTGGATATCATTTGGGAAATTAGATCCTTATGATTTATACAATTGCAGTCTTTTTTGGCCTCACCAAAATCCCAGGAGAAAAGCCACATGTTTTCCCAGACATGTCACTTTCCTACCATACAGTCTGGATAAAACATGGAAATTATGCCTCAAAATGACTTAAATCTGAATCTGAAGTATGTTTACACATGTGGACTACATGCACCCTGCTAACAGGGCTCTGATGATCCCACCATAAATACAGGATCCAGGCTGGGACTCCAGCACACACCCAGAACAGAAAACAGGATGCCATAGCAGGGAGGCACTTACCATTTCAGGGACAGTCTTTCGGCATTCACCTCGATAGTTTACCGTGATGTAAACTGATGCTCTCCTGCAAAGGGAGGACAAGACATTGCTTATTCTCTTCCAGTGCCACAGCTCTCTGACATCGTCACAGCAGTCCTCTGTGGGCTCCTTAAAGCTTTGATGCTACTTCCAATTTGATGGCATTTATTACTCCCCAAACAATCCTATGATTGGGCAGAAAGGGAATAAGGGACTCTGGAAAGTTGTGTATCTTAATTAGCTGTCATCAGATTAATCTCAGACATTTGATCTATGTTTGCTTAACAGCGAGGCACCAAGGACACACTTGATAGTGAGTCATGATATATCAAAACAAACTGTGTGCTGCAAAAGACACTCGGGAACGGTGGATGGCCCTGTATTACTGAAGTCTCTCCGCCTACTCACATGGCAGCTGAACACAAGTCACATTCATTTTTGTATGTTTTCCCATCAGTGCCACAGACAGGTTGTGAGGATTCGCTGCAGAAAATCCTTCCACCCTTTACCCCGTGCAGAATTCGATCACAGTCCAGCTGAAGAGAGAAAGAAATCACATTTGGTGCTGGTTCTTTTGCAAGACCCTCCTAGGCACAACTTAAAGGGCTCACAAACCAGGCATTGCCCTGAGCCCCTCTGCCCTGCAGCATATCCATCACACCTTCAGCAAAGAAATAACAACTCCTGCTGGGCCAAGCAGCTACGATTTGGGGACAAAGCCACCCTGACCCCACTTCCAGGCACAGACCCACTCATCTGATCCACCCTGACATCTCAGTCCAGGGCACATTTATCTCTCCCTGCAAATCCACAAGAATACAAGAAACGTCTGCTACCTGTCCCTAGTCCTTTATCAGGGCTTTCACGCTTGTTGCTTCTGCAAGACACTTGGCAGAAACAAAGAGAAAACCTCGACAATCAAGTCCAGCCGCCCAAGGGCAGCCCGACACGCAGCACGACTTGACACCCACAGAACGAAGAGATGCAAACATGTATGAATAGCTCTGACTAATTAAGCGTGCCCTCTCGTTTCTTCTCGAGCATGACAGCAGGAGCATCTAGGCACTGATTTTCCTACAAAGCAGACGTGGCACAGCTAGAAGGAGCTCAGAGCAGGAGAAACAAGACTCCTCATGATTAGATTGTCACCCCACAAGCACACTGGCACACAGGTGCCTGTGGAGTCATGGCAAGTTTCAGACAGCAGAGGTTGGAGATCCTACAGCCCTCTCTCTTCCTCAGCCTCACTGCCCACCTCTGCTGAAGGTGGGCACCAGAGGCTAAAAAAAAAAAAAAAAAAAAAAAAAAAAAAAAAAAAGATGCAGGGGCAAAAGGAGTGAATTCTATGTTCCCATCCCCTTCTCCAGGTCCTATAAAAGGTGTTGCAATGACTGCAAATGGTGCAATCGGAGAAGAGCTGCAGGCAGGACATTTTGCCTCCTGTCCCACCTGGAGAAACACCATTTCGCACAGAGCAATGGCTCATTGCTTTGCTGGGGTCAGCAGCACTATGGGGTTGAAAGCACTGTGGAGAACAAAGGTTTCCCAGCTGGGCAACGCAGGGGGTTCGGTGGCACGGGGTGCTGCAGTAACACCCTCTGTTTAAACATCACTTGCTAATTTCATTAATGTGCTGCTTCCTCCCTCATCTGGGTAATTAATGATGACACGAAGACACACAGTGCTGACCTTTGCAGTTCCCTGCCAGATGCCTTCCCACACACCAGACACTGCTGCCCACAGTGTAACCCACACGTGTACAACCACGGCCACACCAGCAGTCCCCCACAGTGACTGCTGCCTCTCCTTCAGGACAGCATTGCCCTGGGACAAAGCTCACGGGTGGCCCTGGAGTGAGGAGAGGGGCAGGTTTGCTCTCTGAATCACTCCTTGTCAGTCAGGCTGATCAGCATCCACTCCTTCACCAGACCTATCAGGAAATACCACTAAGCCCTGAAGCAGACTGGCATTATTATGCCTAATGCTTCCTCTGGAATGCATTAAAACTGCCCTATCTGAACCGCCTCCCAGCTTTTTCTATTCTAATATCATTTTTCTAAGAGCAGTCAGTGACAGACACTTCAGAGAGAGTTAAGGCAGTCCGCAGTCAGTCCCTCCAGCCCCACAGAAAGGCATTTCCTATCCCTTCCAAAATGGTACTAAATTGCTGTATGGACTATAAGTGGCAAGTCATTTTTTTTAATCATTGTAGCTCTTGGCAACACCCTGTGACAGCAAGATCCACAGGTTAGTCATCCTTTTTATAGTAACTTATTTTCTCCTATTAGTTTCATAATTTCTAGTTTAGCTTCGTTAAAAATAACAAATTTTCTTCTTGTGGAGATGGAGAGAGCATACGCCCTCTTCTCCCTCCCACATGATTCCACATACAGTCTATTGCTCAGTGTGTCCTCCTCCACTACTCCCTCTCCCCTCCTCTTGTCAGCCCCCCAGTCAGCCTCAGCACCCTGCTCTGGCCATGGTCTTTAACCCAACATCTCAGCATTCAAGAAGGGCCACCACCATCACCTCCTGGAGGACGCTCTCCCATACCTGACTTACTTCTACAGCGAGCCAACTCCAGCAGCAGCACTGGCTTCAGAGACTCCCATTTGGACACATCCAGCCTCACTCCTTTTTGATGCCAGGGGACAGCATCAGGGTATAGACTCTACCACCCACTTAAACCCCTCCAAGGACACAAGTCTCAGTGTGAGGCTAGATATTGACAACAGAAACTGGGGCAGCTGCTGGGAAAGGCTGTGCCTGACCCGTGGGAGCTGGGCATACCGGCTGGTAGGTGTTGGTGCCTCCGCTCTGTCCCTGGCGGCCAGATGCCGGGCTGCAGTCCTGAGCCAAGTTTCCTTGTGGGCTGGCAGGGAGAGAAAGCGCAGAGCTCATGGCACAGCCACAGGTGTGCAGATGCACTCAGCCACATCATCACCCCAGGGAGGAATTAAACTGCACTAAGGTGCACTGCCATTATTTTGCACCTTGTTTTTCAACAGGGCATTTGGCTTGCCGTGGGATGGAGGGAATCCCTGCAACAGGACCTTTGAGTCCTTAGGGGTGGTCAGCAACAGATGCCCATCATAGCGATGATCCCAGAAACCTGGTCCCTGAATGTGCTACAGCCATTTCTGCTATGGAGATCTTTGCACTCTGTCTGCTGGCAGTGCTGGCTGGGGGCAGATGAATGGGCTGCACCAGCAAAAAGCAGGAAGATTAACAGAATTCCTCAAGGCTTAGACAACACAGCAACTGAGCCCTGCCAGAGTCTTGCAGGCCTAAAATCCCAGAAGGGTTGCTCAGTGCCCAGACAGCACATGGTGCACACAGCACTGCCTCAGGTCAGCAGATGGGGATGCACTGCGCCAGGCAACAAGACAGGAGTGTGCCTGCCAGGAGGCAGGATTCAGGGGGCAAGGCTAGGGAGGGATTTTGAGCACAGCAGTCACCACTGCTTTGTGTGCAGGGGAAGCAAGAATGCCTTTGAAAAGGAAAGAGGGTCGTGCATATGCTCTATTCTATATGTTTCCTCCCAGTGTCAAGACCCCAGGAGTTGCAGGGCCAGACCGGGATCCCAGTGCTGCTGTACTCACCCTCTGTTTGTGGAGAATGGCCGTCTCTCATTCATACCCTGCTGTAACCCTGAGCCACTGCAGCTCCTCTGGAAAATGGACAGGATCGTGTTTTAAAACCAAGCAGCAAAGCAGTGAGATTAAAGCAGCTCCTGTCCCCCCTTCTCATCCCCCTAGACCCTAGGAACCATGGGGCTCTGTATGAAGAAGCAGCTCTGATGCTTGCACTATAGAGGAGTCCAGAACTGCCCACTACATATGCTCATACACAATCCCACTAACTAGCAGGGTTTGTAATGCAACCTGCCTCTCTGCCTTCACCAGCAGGCTCCTGCACCTCAAGCACCAGGACCACAGGTAACCTTTGACCATCAGGGTCCCCAGACCCACTGACCCCTTTTCCCAAGCCTGGTGATGCCTTGAGCTCAGTCTCACCTGGTTTGCACACTCTGCAGCAGACTGTTTGTTGCGCTGGGCAGTTCCAGACTGACCTCCTCTTTGAGCTTCTTTTTTGCTGGAAAAAGAGGAGAGGAGAAAGAAAGGAGCACTGTGGTGGTGCAAATGCTGCCAGGACCTTGGGCTGCCCTGCAAGCCAGCATCATGTCATTAGGCACCAGCCTCCCCATCCCTGGTGGCCCTGCACCTAATTCCCACCCCTAAGCCTTTTCCCTTCTCCTCACCATTCCCACTGTACGCTACATCCCGGCTCCAGGTGGCTGCTTTCATATCAGGGCTGCTTCTGCATATGCCCTATGGGAGTAGAGAGAGAGCATCTGGAAGGCAAAGTACATGCGTGGGAAACCCCCTGGGAGCTGCCCCAAGGAAAGGGCTGCTCTCTTATCAACCCTGCTTCTCCTCTGCTCCCTGAGGGGTTAAGGGGGAGGGTGGGAAGAGGGGCAATAGCCACGGCCCTACTGCAGGAGCAGCTCCTGGGGGGCTGCTGGGATTCGGGACTTGCCCAGGTGCAGCCACACAGGCAGAAGCTGCAGTTTTGCAGCATGAGCTTTCCCTCTTTGCTGTTGCCAGGAACTGTACTCACAGCTTCTCGGCACACATGAGGCACTTGTTGGTGTGCTGCTTGCCAGAGGAATCCCGGACAGGGTCGTTCTCCCGTGTGCAGGACAGCCGCCCGCCAGCCTCAAACTGGGAACGGTACTCACTGCAGTCATCCTACGGAAGGAGCAGCAGTTAGGGCACCCTGTCACATCCCTCTCATCTTCAGAGACTTCCCAAACGCACCACAGGAGAGCCCGGGTGTGAGAGATAGAAGAGGGTGTGTGGCACAGCCACATGGCTGCAAACAGTGAGTCAGAAAAGCGACAGGTGCCTCTGTCTGCACGGCACGTGTTAGGAGCTCTCTGCCATGCTCTAATTGTCATGCTCCACGTGGGGCTATCCAGAGCATGCTAGTGATGTGGTAATGGGGTCCCTCCCACTTCTCCCACTGCCCTTAATACAGCTCTTTCTGAAGTTGAAAAATTCACATTGGAAGCAAGAAGTCCCCCCCACAACCAACAGCACTTTGAGGACCAAGCAGCAATATCTAAAGCATGACAGCACAATACAAACATGCTTTAAAGTCCCCATTTTTAAGCCAGCTACTTGAGGCCCTGCAAGTAAGCCAACTCCAAATAGCAGATACAGGAGGTGCATAACCAGATCTTAACCATAAGCATCATAACTTAACCATTACTTTTTACCCACACCTTCCCAGTGCGACACTGGCAGGGTGAAGGAGGGACGCAGTGAGGCAATGAGCCAAACCCCAGGTGAACCCCAGACCTACTGTGGCAGAATTGCTTCTCCCTAATAGTATCTCTCAAGCCCTCTCCCTTTAAAGCAGTATTTCTGGAGATTTGCTGTCAGCCCAACCTCTGCTGCACAAACCTTGCTGAGATGTGCATTTGCCTCCTTCGCAGGCCTGCCGCATCCGTGACCCACTAATAAATGCAGAGCTTTCTTATCCTTTGTCATTTCTAATTGATGAGCAGGAATTCTCGTTAATCACTGCCTGTGTGATCTTGCACTCTCTGTTATTACATTTTATCTTGTTTCTATTACTCCAGGCCTCAGTGCTATCCAATTAGTCCTGAGTGATCTGCTGATCCTCCCTCCCAGCTTTGCCATCAGCAAGTTTCATTAATACTTCCATTTTTTTTTTGTGCCACTGTTATTAGGAAAAGCACTGAAACAGGATTATCCCCAAGAATGAGGCTTAAGGGGACCGTACCAGTTCCTAGCAAGACAGAAATGGCAAGATTTACTTAGTGCTTTTTTTTTTTCCCACACTGCTGAATTGCTCTCACCAGAGAAGTATCAGTGCACAAGGTCACAGTGGCTGCGTCATGAGAGTGAGGTTTCCAATCAGGGAAAGCTGAAACCGAGCCACCCTAGGGACAGCACAGGACTGAACTCTCCTCCCACTACATAACGAACTTTTGAGCATCTCAGAGCTCACATTTAAAGCTTTCCACCCAGATTTTCTTTTCAACCTCATTAGTGCTCTCAGCAGCAGTGCCTGCTCTGCCCTCGTGCCAGATGTCAGGGCAGCTCTGCTCAGCTTCTTATTGTGATGGGGTTTGTCCCCATGTCACTGCAGTCAGTGGGATAGACCACAGCATTCAAACAAACTATTCACTCAGGGCATGAAAGGGCATCAGTGAGAAACAGGCAGGGAAAGCCACGTGGATCTCCAAAGTAACAAAGAAATTGAGTGTGGTAATACTGGGTGAGAATCCTTAGATTTGTATATTGACCCAATACTTTAATCTCACCTTTTGTTTCCCCCTGGTTGAAGTTGCCTTCTGCTCATTCTCCCTTTTGCTGAAAGCGAAGGATGAGAAAGTGAAGAGAACACTGCTGCAGGAGCCCAACCCGGCCCCATTACCACTCTCAATAACAAACAGTGGTTTCCTCTACTCACAACTTCTCTGCACACATGATGCACTTGTTGCTGTGCTGCTTCCCCGAGGAATCCCGGACAGGATCGTTCTCTCTTGTGCAGGAAAGCTTCCCATTCTTGAACAGATCCCGGAACTCCCGGCACTCATCCTGCAGCAGCACCAGAAATGTGGTTTCACACAGATATGCTGACCAAGATGCATCTCCCATGAATCCACACAGCGTCACCGCCCAATCAATTACATCTCTAGCAGTTGTGTTTCCTTCAGGCATAACTCAGTGGCAAACCATAAATTGTTTGCCTGGTGCGTTTTTCTTAAACTATAGCACGCAATGTAAAGCAAATAAATCTGTGTTCTTGGCTGAGCACATTTGTCTTCCTATCCAGGGGAGTTTTATTTCTAATAGAGGAGGCACACAAGAGCCTGCCTGAAGAACTTAGATTCTACTCTAAGTATAAAAGCAACACCTTCTTGTTTAATTTTGCATGAAGATGTTGGTTTCTCAAACTGCTGAGGGAGCACACTGCCCAGAATCTTAAAAAGCAGAGGGCAGCAAAGAGGCTGCAGACAACAAAAAACCCTTCCATAGCTCAGGCTTCCAAGTATGCAGGCATAGGAGGGGGCATTTGTACCTTCTGCCCAACGTGACATTGTGTTAACATCACAAGACTTTTGCAGTAAAACATTCTTAAGCATTTCTGTCTCTTCTGTGCAGTTTTCCTATGACCTTCTGGACCTACAAACAGGTCTGGGGCATCAGCATCACCCATGCTATACTGAGTCTTAAGGCTCCTTTATTCAGCACGTTTAAGGTTTCTTTTCCTCTCCCCTCACAGGAGATGGTTTGATAGCTTATCCCTGCTCTGCAGGTAGGGAAAAGTCAAGTCCAGAGCATTCATTGCCAAAAGCCACACTGAATGGGTGGCTGAACAATGAAGTCCAAAGTAGGTCTCTGCCTGACACTCTGGAACAGTCCTTCTGCCTTTAGGACCACACATAGGCAAGTCAGATGTTTAAAAAAGATTTCCCTAGAACAGCTATGCTTTATAAATCATTTAAATTGCCTGGACACAGCAGAGCCAGAAAGTTATCCTGCTTAGCCAGGAGGTGTAAAAGTATAAATCACAACAGCCGATGCTATCTAATGGAAAGCAGCTCACTCCAATTCTGAATGAAAACCCAAGACTGGAAAAGACAAGTCCCTCTCCATAAAGGTATGTTGTCTAGAGAGACAGCTGCGGGTGAAAGAAACCAGCCATGTGCATCAACAAGATAAACAGGGCACAATTAGATCCAGCCTGTCCCACACCCTGCCCTAGTCAGAGCTCTCATGCGCCATCGCTAATTACTTGCCAGATGCCAACCGTGTGCTTTATAAACAGGAGGAACCTTCCTTAGCCTATGCTCTGGCCAAACACTGACCATTGGTGCTGTAATTGCCCGAGACTGGGTGAACAGTTTAGGTTTCTATTACTCTGGCAGATAGCACAAAGCTTGCTACTGCTCCAGCTGCTCTGCCCTGAGCATCACCAGACCTATGCATATTGGCTAAGCTGGCGTTCCCCACACTGCGGGCAGGGAACAGGCCAGAAAGCTGAAGGGCCACCCCACAGCATCACCCTGCTGCTGGCCAGCTGAGTGGCGACGTTTCACCTCACCTCTCCAGAGTTCACGTTCCTGTTTGCTTCTTCACCACTCCCTTTGTTTCTGGAGTATCTTTCCCTACAAGAAAGGGAGGTGTGAGCAACAGAGTGGCGCGCAGTGCTCAGACGTAAAGCCAAAATAACCGGTGATTAAAAGCAGCCCTGCCAACCCCACCTCTTTGTTGTGCAATGCAGTGGGACAGAACAGGACTCCAGCCCCATGAGACATGCTCAGGGTATTCAGCATCTCCTCACTGGTGGCATTTTGCCATCATTTCTCACTGCCTAGCATCCAGTTGTTCCCATCCTATTCAACATCCTCTAGAGAAACAAAACACTGCTGGGTCCACTGGTTTGCTGGGCAACTGCAAACTGCACTAGCTGGCCCAGGGCTACGAGGGGCCGATACTCACAGCAGCCGCTGGCACATCAGGCACTTGTTGAGGTCCCTCCTGCCATCGGGTCCTCTGATGGGCTGCCTGTTAGTGTGACAGGAGAACTTCCCACTGCGAAGGAGGGACCAGATTTTCATGCACTCATTCTGAAATGCACGGAGGAGGACAGTCAACGGAGGGCTCTCTCGGAGGCCATCAAGGTCCTGCAAACAGTTCATTCACATTTGATTGTCTGGTAGCTGGGGCTCTCACACTCTCCCCCCCATCCCTTGCTGCACTCAGAGATCTGCTCATGGCTCCCAAGGCAAGAAGAAAGTTCAAAACTCACTGCAAAGGCCATTATTCATGAGAAAAGAAATACGCACTTAATTTGCATACAGCTGCAAATTGCAGCCCGCTGCAGGGGAAGACTCTATATTATGCTCTTGAATATAACATACAGCCCTAGAAGTGCCAGCAGGAGGTGAAAGCAATTGGCCAGAGTGGAGTAACTGAGGAGTGATTTGGGTGCAAGGGACGAACCACAAAAGCACACTCCTCAGGGATGGCAGCAATAATGTCTAACGCTGCATCGGCCAATCGCTTCTTCTGCGGGGAACTGGGAATGCGGGCTGTAGAGAATTAATGAAGCATTTAGTTATTTTTGGCTACTATGTTTTCCAAAAGGGTCTTTACTAAGGAGAGAGAAGCTTATTTGATTAAACATGAACGAAGCTGACTTCTCAGCCACTGAATCAAATCATTTTTCTGAGTCTCAAAGGACTTGGCTTGATTATTATAATTATCAAACTCAGAAGTTACCAGAAATGGGAGTTTCTTCTGGATCAGAAGCACATTTTTGAAATATCACTAGAAATACAGCTCACGCCATTTCTAACCTCATTCCAGAGCAGTTTGGATGTTTGTTCAGCATCACACACCAAGCACACAGCTAGAGCCATTGCTGGCTGTCTCTACACGCAGAAAATAACTCCTCTCTTTCAGCCACAGGAAAAGCACGATGATCTTTCAGTACGGTTTGTCTGTATGACTTTGCTTAGAGCATGCATTAAGCAGTGCAGTTGGCAATACAAAAGGAAAGACAGAATAGAAAAGGTTGGACTCGCCTTAATTGAAGCTTGGCTGGCAACATCTGCAGCAGAAAATAAACAACAATGAAACCATACAAAGTCTTTGAAAGGAAGTTTTAAATCAAAAGCATTTAATTAAAATATTTGATGCAGTTTCCTAATCCACCCAAATACCTCTAGATAAAAGCTAATCCAATACATTATTGTACATTGACAGAAAGGACTAAGCATTAGAGACTTTCTAGAACACTGCTGCTTTTTGTCATTCAAATGACAAAAATCACCGTTTTTTCTTGTTTGCATCTTCGTGCCCTCCTTTAATGTGTCACTTTCCTCAGTCTTAAAATCCCAATTTCAAGGTTGCGTTAATAACTGTTTATTTTTCTACTCCCACTGCAGCGGCAGTCGTATCAACCTCATCCAAATATTGGCTTTCATCTTCATCTTAAATGGGGATACCAAAGCCAGCCCATAATATCGTTGTTTGTCCAAAGCTTCAAATTCCTTTTCAAGACCCATTCCATTTGCAGTACTTCATACAAATTACAGAATTAATGACTCAGTAGATGAGTGGCTGATATCTGTTCCTTTCTACTAAGCCATTTAGAGCATGTATAATACATGTTTCATCCTTTTCTCTTGCATCATCTGTGGCATCACATGGAACTATCGAGAAATCTTTCATTACATCTTTTTCAGCATAAACAGTAAAGTGAAAGACCACTGCATCAAACCTGAGCTCCTGCTCAAGTTTCCCTATTGCAGCCATATGAAAATGCATTCACTAACGAGAAAATCGACTAGAAATTCCCATTTTTCTGAACACACCAGAAGGTGTAGTATATTTTTGTTCAAAATTAGACTTTTATGCAAAAATTCAGTCTGGCTGGAAATTTTTATTCTTCCACATAAGCAGTTGGGAGGTTTAGTTTCAGGATTTTTTTTTAACTGTTAACTCCACTAAATATAGATAGTTGCACTTGAATATGGAGGAAATTCACCATTGTCACATGCAAAACAAAAAAACATTATAAAATGTGTTAAAATCAGTCTCATGAGTAGTACAGTAAAAAAAAAGTGGTCTTCTGGTTACATCACTGCTGATTTTAAACAGCACTGCCTCTCTAATCCTCTATTTCACTGTCTTTAAGTGCTGTTCCACTGCCAGATTCCAGTACAGAGAGCAGAGGTTACTAACCTGAGAAGAAGCAGAAAAAAGCCAGAGCAAGGACCACCGAAGCACCTTCTATTTTCATGGTGAGGGTGGCAGCTGTTCACCTACGTTGCCTCTATTGGCGCATTGCTCAATGAGACCCAAAGAAAAGACTCAGGTCAGATCACATATATATAGATGACCAGGTTCTCCGCCTTCATTATGACATAATCTTCCCAAGAACCATCATTAGCCACAAAAACCAGTCTGATGACAGTAGCTTTAAATTCTAATCATCCCATTAACACAATTAATTTCCATAAGGATGGGACATATTTGAGTCACTCCCTGCATTCTGTCAAGGTAAGAAAATTACAAACGGATCGTTTCATTTTCCCTTACACATAGAGAGGGGAATTCTTCCCATATTTAGAATGGTTTGTAAGACAGAGGTATCACTCTGGCATACCATAAATACCATTTCCTATCTCAAAATAAGCTGGAAGGATTTTGTTTGAGCTATTTTGTCCCAGTAGACAATGGAAAGACTGGGTCAGTCAAGATCTCTGGAAGGTGGACAGTTCTTATTAAAGCAATCCTGTTTGAACCTAAATAGTAAGCATTCAGACAAGCTTGAAAAACTTGCTTGAGGTCCTGATGAAAGATTTCAAATTTGCTCTTACAGGTCACGTAGAAAAAGCTTACTGCAGAATCCTCATCCCTTCCCCATCTCTCCCAGTTATCTTCAGAACGAAGAGCAGTGTTATTGATGAAAAACCTTTTCTCAGCCCACCTGGCACTTGGGAGACCAATCAGCCCTGCTTAGGCCTCTCTCAAAGAAATGATGAAATATGAAGGTTACTGTTCCATAGGACAGAGATTCTCAGTAGATGCATGAAAAGAAAAAGATGACATCAAAGAATCAGAATGTGAATACATGGGAAGGAGCCAGGTGTATTGTTATCTAGAAAAAGCAAATAAAATGTGAGAGAAAAGTCATTTACAAGGTTTGAACGACGCAGATAAACGGCAGCCCAGCAGACCAAAGCCACAAGAGTCCTGAGCATGGGTAAGCAGGCAGAGGCTGCACAGGAGAGGCAGGTCAGCGCTATCTGAAGGAGGAAAAAAAGAAAAAAAAACATACTTTTGCATGATATATGCATTTGGCCAGAGGCACCAACACAGCTCAGCTCAAGTATAAATCCTCATAATAAATTGCTGCCACATTTCCCAAATCAGAATATTTGCTAGTGTTTAAAACTGAAGCCAATGCCAAGTGAGTAGAAAGACCTAATTTGGTGTGTGGTCATCCTTAACGTTTCTTTTCAAATAAAAAAATTAGATCACATGCAGATTCACAGCAGTGAATTCGAAAAAGAAAACTGCCTGAGGTCATACAGATGGTTAATGGAAGATCTAAAGAGCTGTGTGCTGACTTGAATCATGGTATGGTTTCTGTAAGCATATTCACGCATGGAATTAGAGGGGAGGACAAAGGGAAGAAAAGACAACTAGCCTGATATGGTACGTCTCAGTAAATTCTTGAGAGAAATTGAAAAAGAACGACAATGAAAAGAGCAAACAAGGCTATGGTTTAAAAGTGCATAGAATCCTATTTGGAGAACAAAAGCAAAGGGCATTCTTGGTTACTGAGGTGTCCTCCCATGAATCAGCCACAGAGTGGTAGAGAAGGCGCATCTTTAGACGGGTTTTGTTTTTAAGATCATCTTTCCACTAAAAGCTCTATTCTTCTAAAGAAGTAAAACAGCGTGTTGATTTAAGACAACTGGCTGACCACCCTGATCCAGAAGGAAGTACTCTGTGTACCAGCCACAGTTGGACTGACCAAGCAAGAGCAAATCCTGGCCCTGGCAGCAAAAGGAGGATGGAAGCAGTCAAGGAAGGCGGAAGAGATCCAGATCCTGACCCTGGAACAACCCCATGATCGCTGCCTCTCATTCCATCCTCCCACCCCTTGCACCCTGTCCACCATTCAAATCCACACCAACATCAGAAGTTCCAAAACCAGAATAAAATTTCCAAAAAAAGAGATGATCTTCTTCCCAATTACAACCACCTGAAAACAAATCAGTAGTACAAAACGTGATGTAAGGGGACAGGGAGAATTCCTCAAACCCATAGAGTTTAAACGATTTGTTCTGGTGTACTTGAATTGCAAGAAGCAGCCCAAGCAGAAGAAAGAGGCATGACAGCAAGAGTGCATTAAACAAACCTTGCATTATGTACTTGATTACCTTTATTGATGGATTTACCCAATACAGTCTCAGTCCTGCACTGAAATCCAGTCAGCCCATTCATTTCCTTGGGATTTTGCACTGCAGGATCAGATGTGCTGTAGGAGAGAAGATCCTGATGCTTTAGCAATAGATTTGCTATGGCATCTCAGTAATCTTGATTTAAAGCTGAAGAGTGCTGAGCCATCAAGGAAAGCAGCCTGGAGAAAGAGATGCTGCAAAAACACTTTTGTTTATTTCTCAGCTTCAATTCCAGAAGAAAAGTAAAGAGTTTATAAATGATGCCATCCCAGGTAGATCAGCTCTCATTAAGTCTGTTATCTTACATCCCCAGTTAGGAAAAAAAAAAAAAAAAGGGAAATGGTATAAAAATAATCATGGAGGAGCAACTGGGAAAACACAAGAGAGGAAAAAAGGCTGAGCAACATGAAATTTAGGCAAACTCTTGTGAGATGGAAACCCAGTAGGTTATGTATCACCTGGGGATGTTTTAGTTGAGGGAAAGCTTCCTGGCAGCATACCTACTTAAATTCTCTGCCTTGGTATTTGCTCACCAGAAGGGTGCCAGTGTCCATCCAAGCAGCTCTGAGGGTGCGCTCCATGCCCAAGAGTGGGAGCTGTGCAGCACCATTCTCACCCCAGAATAACATTGTGTTTTGGCTGAAATCTCCAAAATCACTACTGAGGGTGTAAACTGAGCCCTAATAAGAACAAAGCCATGTTTCACCTCCTAGTTTGGAATTTCTCCCATGTTCCTCTTGCAGTGCTAAAACTTACCTTTTTTTTTTTTTTCTTTTTTTTTTTTGCACTGCAAACCCCTCATCCCTACAAAAAGTGCTGTGGCTTCAGCACCACTATCATGGCTCTCAATGAGTAAAGGAGAATTCACCTAATGTCACTGCTGAGTCCTTAGATGAGACTAGAAATGCAACACATGCCTGCATGCTGCCAGCCCTGCTCACCTGCAGGGCCCAGAGCTCCTCCCCTCTCTTGCTGAGTCCCAGCCAAGCTCACCCCAGCACAGCCTCAATGGTCCCAGAGCTCTCTGTCAAGCAGCTCCTGCTCCATCACTGCTCCTCCATCACCACTCCCCACCAGTTCAGACACCCTGTGAGATCAGCTCCCACTGCTCTGCTTCTGTTCCAGGGAAATGAACTTCATGTCTAATGAGAAATAATGCGAGTAGGGAAACTGACATATTTAATACAACTACACGTTATTCCCATCAGAGCTGTGCTTTTCTGTCCTAATTTGCATGATTTTTACCTCCCTACCATCTCTTTTCCCCTCTCAGAGGGGTTGTATCCACACCAGCACTAGACACTTATTTCCCTAAAATATTGAAACTTCTCTTTCCCAGCCCAACACTACATCTCTTTCTCAAGCCAGAAGCCCTCAGGGCTAAAAGAGAAGAGACATAGCTCTTCGGCATATTTAACAAACCAAATGTAGAGCAGATTATATTTTGCTTTCCAGCCAAAGCAGAGTCCAGAGCTCTCAGCTCCAGCACTGCAGTATGAGCTGCACCTCCAGAGCAAGGTATTTCAAAGCCCAAGGACTCCAAAGACACTGTCCCATTTTTAATCAGCCTCTCAGCACTGTTAACACTTAAGATTGAGAACAAAAGGTTTCTTGTAGCTTCTTTGGGCTCATCAGAAGCTCTCAATTAGTGAACATCAAGGGTAGAGCATTGTGCTGTCACATGTAACACTGCAAGGCAGAACAGCATTTTGAGCTGCATCTCTGCATGTTGACTATCCCCATTCTGTGCTCCTAGGTGCCTCGCTTAGAGCCTCGGAGGACATACTTCTGCTGTCACCACATTAGGATGGCTTCCTCCCCTCCAGAGATACTCAGTTATGCACCCACCTCACGTTACAAGAGATGTGAGTCTCATCCATCTCTTCAGCACAATTTGGGATGCACCAGATCTGCACACATCCCATGCAAGAACAAAATTTAAGACACTGGACATTCTTTGGCTTGCACCCACTTCTACAGTCAAAACCCAGGAAGTGGTCAGCCAACAAGACAGTCAACCCCAAGCTAATGGAAACGTGTTTGAGTTTCCAGACTGCAACATAATGCCTCAGAGCTCCCCTGTTTGTACCTAATGCTACAACAGGTCTCATATAAGCTTTGCCCAGACCTCCAAAGCAGCAAGCCCTGAAATCCCACAAACACCACAATTACCCAGGGTCTACATCATGATCCTCTCCCTTCGCCAGCATGAACTATCTGAACAAAAATGAAGCTCCACCGCTCTGATCCAGTGAAGTGTCCTTCCCAAGTGGCTGCTCATTTCCAACCCTTGTGCTGGGTATGCAGCTCAACTCAGCATCCCAGCAGCTGACTCTGCACGCCACCTGGCTGCATTGCTGTAAATGCAACAGCTGTCGTGTTAACTCTCAGCATCGTGGGGCACTATTCCTTCTCTGCCAGTTCACAAAGGAGAGCTGGAAGCCAGAAAAATGGTGGGAGTTTCCTGACTTTGTCAGCCTCTGAGAACTTCAGTTGCATAGCAAGTCCTGCGCATTACAGTGCATAGAGAGGCAGCAAGAAGTTTCAGAAACATGCCCACAGTATGGCAGCAAGCTTCTCCAAGAAGAATCTGTCACGACTTGCTGCTTCAAAAGGACAGGATGTGGAAAAGTTTAATCTGAATATGTTTTATACACCCCAATGCATGGAAAGCATCTAACAGCTTTGCCTCAACCCAGCATGCACTGCATCCTCCTCCGGACCCAGCATCCCATGGATCATGACCTTCCCTGTCACCACATGCCCTTTCATGCCAAAGATCTCTTTACTGTGATTAGCTCTAAACCCATAAAAAACACTACAGATTATAGACTGTATTGTGTGTCAGCCGCACAAACTCCAGCGTGAAATGCTGGTGACACGCACAGCAGGTCTCCTTGCCACATCTGCAGTACAATCACAGCAAATCCAGGCTTGAACAAGAGCATAGGTTTGCCTTTGCACCTTCCCAGGTCGTGAGCCACCACAGCATGGTGCTGACTGTTCTGGACAGGCCTTTGCCACTGCTGACTTAGCTTGAAGATGCTGGGGAGGAGGGGGAAGTGAATCAGGAAGTGAGCAACCACGAGTGGTGCACATCCGAAAGGCAGGGACAAGGCTAACTTTGGAAGATCACAGGAATAGCACGTAACGCATGCCATCTTCAAAGCACTAATGAATCCCTACAGGGTTCCCCTGTTATTATTTGCATTTCACAGGTGGGTATATTAAGATGCAGAAGGCCACATTATCCTCTGGGTCACACCTATTTCAGTCTCTTCATCCTTGGTCTTCCACTGGCATTCATCCCAGTGGTGTGAGAGATCTTCCTGCAAGTCACAACAACAGTGTATCTCTCAGGCAGGCTTGGTACAGGAATCACAAGTATGATCTGTGGTCTGATTTGCACAGCACACTGGACTGACCAGGCTTATTGATCTCAGCTAGCTTCAAAAACCTACCAGCTAATCAATCCCTCCCTCCTGCTAGGCTGAAGGGTACAAGGAATTCTGGCTCAAATTGGATCTTTTCTTATGCTCTTTTTCCGGATATGAAATGTAGGACAGAAAATCAAAGGAAAGACACATCTGTGAGCATCCAGCACACCACCCGGTCTTGTTTCATGCAGCATTCCCAGCCTGGCCCAGGGAAGGGTCCCACCTTCCCGCCAGGAGCCTCCCTGCAGCTTGACAGTTTTTGTTCACAGAAGAATGGAGCTGCCCTGGGAAGTGTGCTCAATGGGAGAGCAAAACTGCTCCCCAAGCTATAACACATACCATATGGGGCTGGGGCAACAGGATGCTGGAACCAGTCTCTGCATCGAAGCAGCAAGCTCTTCCCACCAACCCAGAGGAAGCAGCCTGCCGATCCCAGTGTCAACACTTTCCAGGGCAGTATTTGCTCATTAAAAACTGCTGTGCTGGAGGTGGTTGGGTTTTGATCTACAGGGCCTCAGCAAATAACATCTGCATAGTGATGGGATTTCCCACGGCACAGCACCATGACATCCCATGGAGCTGCAAAGGACTTGCAGGCTCAGAAAGCCACCAAGATCTGTGCTTTGATGGGCCTTAACAGAGCTAGCTGATTTCATGGCCATTAACAGTATTTGTAGCTTAGATAAGGGTAATCAAAATCTCATCATTCAGGGTGTAAACTGATTGCCTGCAGGGGTTAGAAAGGAATTTTACTTCATGTGCAGAGTTGCATAACTGCCTAGATTCATTGTGGGTATTTTCTAGTGTCTACTGAGCACCAGTCATGGGCCATGGTTAGAAGCAGAGCATGGCACACCAGCTACAAGCCGGAATCGTCATGCAAAAATCACAGTCCCATTGTTCAGAAACAAAGTAGAATGTTTCTGGGTCTGGCTTCAACTCACACATGGAAACAGAAGACAATGACTGTCACTGGGCTGCTGAAGCAGCAGAATTTCAACAGAGGATGAAAAATCTGTCCTGAGATTAGTTTCCCGTGGACAGTGAGAAGAGCAGCGGCAAGCCCACAGGCACAGCGCACAAAGGATTACACAATGCAAAATGACCCATTTGAACAAGGCTGCCCCATCTCATGCCGCCAGCTGGACCCTGTAAGCGCTGCCACAATGGGGGTACCAACAACCTGCCTTCCAGCAAGGCCCGTCCGTGCCATCCACCAACCCTTATCACCAGCCTGAACAAGGAGGGACAAGAACACGCTGTTTTTATCTCCACAAAACTATTATTTATGTTTTATCAGTGGCAAAGGCATTATAATGTCAGAATTGGCCGCAGGGCGTGGTGGCCCAAGCACCAGTACCCATCAGTGCACTAAGAGCAGGTGGCCAAAACATGCCCTGCATGGGTGTTGGTTGCTCTTAGATTATAGTATCACCACACCCCACTCAGCTAATTGCACCATGAAACTCAGATCTCCACCATATCCCAATGCCAGCCTGATGGCAAGTACCTTTATCCGTGCACGTGATCCATCACAGCGTTAGCTGATCCTCTGGGGAAAGCTGTGGGAAAAACCCCCATTGCAGAGGGTATAGAGGGTAATTGAGAATAAAGCATTTCTGCGCATATATGTCACTATT